TTTTAAATAAATAACGCAGGACGACTATTTTTTGACTAAATATTTGTGTTATTCGCATAGTTATATGTCAATATCTCCTCCAGAAATAATTAACTTTGAAGAATATATTCTTAATTTACTACTTTAAAACAGTATTTGCCCTAAATACAAAAGTCATTGATATAATCTTTTCTTTTAATCTTAATTATTCTAGAGAGAATCTTTTGGATCATCTGATACTGAAAGAGTTTAGTCGAATGTATTTATAATTTTAGCACATTTGGCTTAAGAGTAAACAATTGTCCTCCACTTTCAATTCTTACCGGAAGGTGTGTCATCAGAAATCGGAAAGTGGAAATTATATTTGCCAACCAACCAATTTGCCTCTAATCTTGATGTGACTTGTTGTATTATCAACCCTTGCATTTTTATTGCTCCCATTAAAATGGCTCGATGGCTTTGTCCATTTTTGCCGTTTCGTCGTAATTGAAATTACAGAAATACTGACCGCCGACCATAATCAGAAAGCCGGCTTTTATTACTTCCCATAAAAAGTTGGTTTGGGTATGTCTTGAAAACGCAGACAATTAATATGATGAAAAAATATCTTTCTTATACTATACGCGGCAAAACTAGCTGTAGTAATTTCCCAGAATATTAATGGATTTTTTGTTAAAATTGACACTTTGAGTAATCCACTTTACGGGAAAGCTGGAATATTCAAGTCAATCGCTCCGCTGTGTTAATGTGTTATCAGGCCCAATTATTTGTAACCGCCAGACTTAACATGATACGACTTCATCAATTCATCAGAAGAATTTCATTAATAAAAAAATATGCCCTAACGTATGAATCAATTTGATAAGCTTTTTCATGACAAGCATTGGCATCCACCCAAAAAGTCTTCCCAATTCACGGAATTGACTGATTTGCGATATTTACCGAATAAGCGTTCATATGCACAGTTTACGTAAATTCTTTTCAAATGTAAATATAAATACTTAGACTGACTGTTAATGTCCTTGACGCATGAATTTTTCAGTATCACATTTTAGATAAACTGGTGATGAATTTACGCATTAAAAGAATCAAGATTATTTGGTATCAAGAATACTCTTCATAGATGGTAGCTCTTAAGACTCAGTTCAACTGGCATGAATGAATAACTCCAGTTTAACTTGTTATATCTTGGCAATTATTATTCCTTACATTTTAGCAACATATCTAAATTAAATTTTTGTATTAAAAGTTAAAGAATCTTTATTGCCACACCTATCAGACGTAAATTATAAAAAAACAGGCCTAAAATACATCACTGGAGGTCTTGGATGTTTCAAAAAATTCTTCAGGCTGAATTGTGGACAGTCGAATAGAACTGTGATTTCTTTACAAAATTGAGCACCAATTCGAATGCATTTACTCAAATCTGTGTTCATTAGTCACTACTACTGCGGTTTTAACAAAAAATTCTATTATATTTGTATCTCTAAATGCAGAATTCATCTCTCCAAACGATTAAAATAAGGTCAATTTTAATATAAAGTATTTCTACTTTTCTTTTGTGCCGGTATAAAATTTAATCAAAAATTAGAAAGAGCAGAAATGGAGGCACGCGGTTTATTAGTCCATCTTGAACCCACTGGTCGGTATATTATGATTGTAAGTAACGTGAATGTGTTAAGCCCTTGAAAATTAGGACGTTTATAGTTTAACACATTTTTGATATTTGAAAATGAAAAATTATATTGACCTCGGTCTTTGCAGAATTGAATTCTTTCATACGCATTAAGCAAATGAAAGACTCTTCGAATATGCATTTGAGGAAATGTATGAAGTCGAAGTAACCACATCTTTGAGTCATTATTCACAAAATTTTTGAAAAAATTTTCAAGTTTGTAAATAGAATTTTATTGATCCCTTAAGTTCTTTAACGCATCAAAATTAAAAATAGCTTAAGTTATCAAAATATTTAATAATAACCATCTTAAGCTTTTTGAGCCGATGCTTCGTCGAGGTTAATTGCGCAGAAAATTAATTGATTGACATTTAACGCATATTTTGGCTTTTCGCTCATAATTATTCTTTTGAACAAAGTGATCATATTTTATTGATTTCCATTACCTAATTTCAGTCATTTCAATTAAGTTGGTTGAAAAAATTAATTAATTAAATAATATTACGTGGAAGTATTATGTTCTGTTTAAACTACAAGGCATCAATTTGTTAAATTAAAGCGTAAATAGTATTCAACGGAATTAAAAATCGCTTCTATTAACTTTTCGAATTCAAATTGAAATTACAAGCGCAAAAAAATCATGTTAACCTCTTCCTGAAAAATACTCAACTTACATAAACGTTTCGGAAATCCATTCACCCATAGGTTTTGCTAAAATTCGTCTGCAAGGAAGACATCACGAGTCAGTTTGTAATTTCAAAGCGATAAAAGCCAATGGTTAAATCATTATCGGGCAAGAATTCAATAAAATTGAGGGTACTTTAAGACGTCTATGAAAAATCATCAAAACAGGACGACCATAGCACTTTGTAGGCACAAAAAGAAATTAATTTAAAAAAGTTTAAAAAGAACCAATATTATACATTACAGACAAAAGCTTGTAATTAAATTCCAGCAATCTTCGTTAGGCTTTATTATTACAGCACTTGATTTACTAGAATTTTGATGAGCGCACATCTAAAAAGAATTTTATTGCTATGACATCTAATATTGCCCTTCAACATAATTTTTTTCCACTGTGAACGGGAATCGTCAATGTGCTTTACAAACCATTTATGCTTACTGAATCAGTATTTATAGATGTATTTGCTAATCATGATAATACTTCAAATCTACTTTTTTATTTATTTCTAATAGCAGGCATTTTGATAATTATCATTAGCTCTTTAGGTAAATTTGAGCTCCACAGAGGAGAGAAACATCAAAGTTGGAAAATTTCGAGAGGAGGGAAAGAAAAGTGGCCTACAAATGTGAGCGAGACAGACAGACGCAATGGAAGAGAAAATTTAAGATTAGTTCTGTTGAAGTGAACGAATTTGATATAGAGTGTGGGCTCCGTGGTCTAAAAGTATGATTCGCGCTTCGGGTGTGCGAGGTGCTGGGTTCAAATCTCAGCTGGGCCCTCTTGCCAGCTCCTCTTGTGCTTAAACCTACTTGTTAATAGATTTATGTAAAAATGTATTAATACTATTTAGTTAAATTATGCTTTTTTACCAGAACCATAAAACAAGCTTTTAAACTGCAATCCGAACCGACGAATTGATAATTTCCTTTTGCTTTATTTTTTAAAGTAGGAAGACTTTTCTTCAACTTTATATATTGTGCGTTAAATACTCAAAAATGTGATCGAAACTTTCAACCTAACGGCCATATTTTTAATAAAGAGCCTTATTTTCGATTTAATGAATCTTTTCGCCACTTTAAAATGTGTTTAAGACCGTGATTTGGAGAAATTTTTAACTCATTAAGCAATTAAATTCACATTTTGGTAGGTGATTTTTGCAAGTCGGTATGCCAACTCAAGTTCGGAGCAAATAAAGCAGAGCCACTTCGTTTTCAATTAGACTTAAAATGTATCATTCAATGCTAACAAAATTTTAGCCCCATTACTTTAACGAAACAAAATTCAACACTCAACTCAATTTAAATTGGAAAATTGCGAATATTTCTTTCACATATGCGCAATGTCGATTGAGCATTTTATTTCGAAAATTTTATGGATAAAAGAGTTGGTACTGTTTGATTTATGCTATTTACTTGCACATTTACCCTCCTCCCTATTTTTTTAATTTTTTACAATAGAGACGATTAATATTTGCTTACGCTCCAAAATTAAACTTTAGCTTGTAAATAAGTCTTCCTTTTTACAATATTATATTAAATAAAGTGATAAATTACATATTCCAATAAATTTTTATAAGATTAGAACTGCCTGTCAGCCAATTATTCATTCAAACTGTATCCCATTTTGAAATTTACCAATTTTAAAAAACGAATATTTTGGCAAACTATCTTTATTTCAGCAGAACTACGAATTAAATTTTCAGTTTTAATTGACTTAACTGAATTTAACATAGTTTATAATCCCTATTTCTATAAAAGTGCCCACAATTTTAAAATTTTCCGCATCGGTTTCTAGGAAAGTGCAAATAAAAATTTGCGATTAAGCCAATGCCCTATTTTTGTGGCATCATGCATTATTAAAATATTCCAAATGGAAAATCGCTCAGCTAAAAGATGAGGATGCGCTTGCTTGTATTGAATGAAGAGGTAAAAGTACAAATTTAAGCATATTAAGTATTTCCAAAATTTAAGTAAGTGCTGTTTCTTAAGCTAAAACTTCTCTTTAAGTAATTTAGTAGAGAAAGAAAGTTACATATTCTTTAGTTCAACATGTACAGTGGAAATTGTTCCCATTGGTAACGGCCAATAGCTATTTTCATAACCAGAAAATTTAGTATGACTTAAAAATTAGCAGGAATAAATGTTTGAAATTCGAAACTAAGTTAATTTGGAAAAGTAAATAAGATAAGTGAAAAAGTGGAGTACAGACTTGAAAGGGACTCTGCCAGTTTTATCCTTGAACTATGCTTACTGAGCTGCCTTTGTAATAAAATTATGCCAATTTAATTTTAAATGATTGATCCCTCAGTTATGGAGGGGGGGGGGGCTAAAATGGAAATAAAATTGAGCGGCAGAAGATCAGGACACACATCATCAATCCCTATAAAAAGTAACAAAATGATGCAAATTAAATCTTGAACTATTTTTTTAGTTTTATTCAATTTTAGGTTGTTGAATAATTGCCATTTTAAATAGTTACAACTTTAGAAATTAAAGTCAAAGACAGAGGCATGTATGAAAATAAAGTTCTACCATAATTATTTCACCGAATTTATAAAAGTTTTTTTGCCAGAGAATGAAAAGTTTGTCGTCCTAAATAATAAGGTATCGGCAAAGGTCATCTTATGGGTCATTTGCAGGAAAACTGTCGTAAATGATTCTATCAGTGCTGGTTCTTCCAATCGCAGCAGAGAATCCTTGCAAGCTTCTTTCGAAATCGCTCACTGGAAGCCAAGTAGGCAAAAAAGTTTATTGCATTGTTGGTAAAAATGAAGATTACCAGAAATTGCTTTATCTCTATTGGTACTGAAAGGTGTTTGTAATCCGAGACGAGGGTTAAAATAGTTCCTGGAAGCGTACAAACAACATGCACCACAGTCAGAGCCGTTAATACCTTAATAACATCTTCTGGCTTTCTCTTTCGTCGTTCCTGTCTTGAAGATACATTTTTTGAGTGATTTCTTTTCTCCCCGTCGATCATTGAATTCGGCATGAGTTCAGAATTTTTATCGGCAACTTCACTCTCCATATTGTCAGTGTTGGTATAAGTTCCGGGTGTAGGAGAACTGGCAAGCAAAATGGACTTGTTAATTTTTGTTTGTCGTTTATTTATAGTTGTTTGGAGTAAGCGACGCTGTCTTTTCAATTTACAGTAAATATACAAATTGCAGGAAAAGAGAATGATGTATGGGATGACGGCAAATGTAATGAAGTCAATCTTTTTAAATACTTCCATAAATTTATGGTATTTGGCAATGGTCTTGCAGGCATGGAATGTTTCGTCTGATGCACCAGTTATTTCCAAGAGACCCATCATAAATAAGTGAATGCCATTCTTAATAGAGAGAACAAATGCGAATGTAGCCATTCCAAAGCACACCGACTTGATGGAAGTAAAAGTGTTTGCATGGTGAGGAAATGCCACGACAAGAAAACGCTCGACTGCGACAGCGCAAAGAGATCCAACAGCAAAATCTGTGAAAAATGCAAAGGCAAACACATGTACTTTACATATTAAGTCGGAATAGTTCCTAAAATCGAAACCAAGTACTTCGTTGGACCAATATCGTGTTACGCCGGTAAGTAGGACGGCTGTATCAGCAGCAGCGATTATGACCATAAGAATCCGAGTAGTTATTCGGTTTGTCTGATCAGTGGCCATAATATAGCCACTGATAGCATTTCCAGGAAGCCCAATAATCAGGAGAAAGCTGGTATATATTTGAAGTCCAAGTTTGAAAAATATTGTTGGATTCTCGATGTCTGTTTCATTTGCAGTAGACATTATGAGCACTTATGAACAGCACATCTCAGAAAAATGCGAGATAACTGTGACTTAGTAATTGAAGCACTTTAAGAATACTTCCACATTTCTAATTGGCTGTTGCCAGTGACCGTCTAACGGGATTTGCCAATGAAGCGACTCGGTTGGGATAGAAATCTGATTAGCCAGCAGCTGTATCGTACTTCAATCAGTCATACGCGAATAAGACAGAAAATATTTATTCAGAATGATATTCATCCATATTTATATTCATTATTGCAAAAAAATAAATTTAAGGGGTAGTGCTGATAAAAGTGGTTGCCTATCAATTTTTTTACACTTAATTATTTTTTTTTAAAAATTTATATATCTTTATCTCCTCATTTGAACCCCCTCCCATCCGTCTGTTTTCTGACATCATTATTTGTCTTAGTTTTCATCACTTTGTTTTAAGTCTGAAAGTTACATTCAATAGTTCTTCTGGTTTGCACAATCTCGTTTTGACCTATCCAAATTTGACGTGATTGGACCTGATTAAAAATATGGTTAGAGAGTCAAGTATTGAGCTACACCGTTAGTAAAGCCAATGTTGGAAGTTGTATTAGTTTTGTTTATCATTGTGCATTTGTGGTTAATTGTATAAATTACCGATGGCAGTCATAATCAATTAAAGTAAACCCTATAGTTATTTCTCTTAATAGGGAAGAATATTTTAAAGACAAATAAAAATTCCGTTTCTCAAAAAGGAGACTGTTTAGGACTTACCTCCGCGTGGTGCACCCTGGGCAACGTATATTCTTACGGCAAAAAGTCTTTTAACTGGCAGTTAGCTTCTTACTTCAAACTATCATCACCTTACTCAATGCCATATTCGACTATTTTCACAGTACTCACCTCACGTTTTTTCTACCTTTGTATTCGCCTCTTACATCTTTTAAACACTCTTCTGTTCCTCCTCTCTCAAATTTTTCAATTTGATGTTTCTTCCCCTCTTTGAAACCTGAAGTCAATTAAAGGGCTAATGATAACCAACAAAACCCCTGCCATTTGATGTGAATAAATAAATATTGAAAAACAAGTTTACTTTGTAGTTCATGTTTTTTACATTTCACATTTGCTTAACCTTAGAGAAGTCACATTTATAACAGATATGACGCTATTCCTGATGATTTCCTTATTTTAGTATATCCAGATAGTCAATGATTTAAAAGATTACAGAAACATTTACGTTGGTTATGACCTAAAATTTACATTTATATATTCTAAATAAAAGAATACTTCAGTTCTTAATGATAGGCAAATGCCAAATGCATCAGTGACAAAGGTAAATTTCCAAGCCGTAAGTTCAAATATTTATTGTAAAATGCCAATTCAAATCTAGATGGAGGCAATAAAATGAATTTATGAAACTCCTAGCGCTTCCAGACGGAACCAATCTACAGTATTTGGATTAAAAGCTATTGTTATTTTAAGGAAATTAATTATTCGGTTTGGTTAAAGCAACACTTGAAAAATTTTTTTTCATTCTCTCCTTAATAATTTATGTAAATAACATTTACCTCATTTACGGTTTATTTTTGATCGTTTAAATTTCTAAGGAAGCATCATACGAGAGCGTATAGATGAAGAAATGAGCAATAGATGTTTTTTCTTGATTAATCATATAAAAAGTGGCTTTTAACGATAATTATGAATTATTGGTTTTCTGACAGGCTTCCTCGAATGTACTTTAGAAGCCTAAGACAAATGTTATTAAGTGGGTTTGTGGGCTTGCTTACTCACAATTCGTCAAAATACCAAGTTCAAAGGACTATCAAGCACATGCATATGCATTTTAAGTGTGCAGTAATACTTTCTGTAGCGTTGTAGTCGAATTCTGTTTAAAATATGCATTCCTCCCTCCTCCATTAACTACTAACCAATGCGTCATCTGCAACAATAAAAGCAAACTCGGACTTATAGCATAAAATTAATCTGGTGAAATCTATTGATCTACCTAAAATTCCAATTAAGGGTGTGTGATAGACTTACCTCCATGTAATGTAACCCAAGCAACGTATTCTAATATAACAAAAAAGTCTATAAACTGGTAGTTGGACCACTGACTTCAAACTACCATTACCTACCGTTTGTCACAATCGACCCCTTTCACAGTACTCATCTTACCTTTTCCTTGCCTTTGTGTCTGTCTGTCTCTTTTACATATTTGAAACACTCGTCTGTTCCCCCTCTCCAACTTTTCTCACATTGATGTTTCACCCCACTGAGAATCCCGAAGTCAGCTATTTGAAATAAATAAATATTCCAAATAGGTTAAATAGCATAGATGCTTGTGCGATCAGTTTTATCATATTATCTATGAAATGTAACAACGCTTATTAAGAAGAATATAATTTCGAAATTGGCGAATAATCGTAAGATAATTAAATTTCGTTAATTAATGTTGATTTTATTATTAAGTTAATATATGATCTGTTGGGAAGAAAAACATGAAACTGTAAATAGTCAAATAGGAAAATCTGTCGATTTTGCTAAACAATGTCAGATGCAGTCATCAATCTGGCTCATATAGACTAGGCAGTACAAGTTCCAAATTCCGTTTTACGCACAGAGCTATTTCGAGGCCGAAATATGTGCTTCGGAATAATCAGCATGGATAAAGGTCTCCATTGTATATTTGACTATTGTAGCGATATTCCTGCTTATCTTTCAAAAAAAGTAACATTTAAAAAGTCATATAAGCACAGCAAGCGTTTTCACTTGTAATTATCTATGCTGGGTATTTGCTTTAAAAAAAAGAACTCAATGATATGAATATTTATCTAAAACGAAAAAATGTGCTTAAGCTATATGATTTCAGTATAACACAGCCTCAAAAACTTTATTATTGGAAAAAATCGAGCGTACGAAATTCAACTAAATTACTTCTTAAAAAACACACTTTATCGCTTATCAATTCAGTGTATTTTTCCATTCATTTATTAGAAAAAATAGATGGCCAAGCTTTTTTAGTCACTTATAATTTTCTTTAAATGCCACCTTTTGATGTTAAAGAATCAAAAAAACTTCCAGTTGATAAATAACAATTAATGGCTAGTTTATTTATAGAAGCGTGCTTTCGAATGCATGAATTAGAATAATATTCGATAAATCCTATCCATGGTTAGTATGTGTAGTAGATAATTTGATAAATGGGGAAAATTATTCCATACATGAAATTGGGATTAAAAATTGCTTTATCTCACGAAGGTTTCCTTAGGAGAACGTCGTTGGGCCTGATCTCGAACTTAAGTAAGATATTCAGTAGTGTTCCTCATAAAACATTTCTCTCATTGATATAAAATACATCAAAAGATGAAGTTGGAAAATCTTAGTGCCACTTCAATCCTATAGATAATATAAGTAACTTTCTTGATATTTATTAAAATATCCATTGTTCCATACAGCATTATCTTTGTTCAAGTTCCTTTAAGTCTAAGTGTACACTTTTAAAAATGTTGATGGCTTTTGACTATAAATGTGTAGCAAAACTAAGTATTTCACTATCGTTTTAAATGACCCGCTCAGGAAATGTCAATGGGTTAGCTCTCCTACGTACTCTTTAAATCATCATATTCAAAATGAGGTTTAAGTTAAGGGGAGGGCGGGACTTTGATAGGCAACTTTAACTTTTCTCATGCGTATTTAATAATTAGTTAAACAATTTAGTTTTGTATATGAGTTCAAATTCATAAACCGCCATTCCAGCATGTCAAAACCAGAAAATTTTAATTAAAACCAATGCGCAGTCACTAGACACTATATAAAATATCAATTTTACTTCTAATTACTAATTAAAATATTGCCTTTAACTTTGTTCAATGTCTTCTTGTCTGTGAATATTGCTTGAAATGACGTTTTAGCTATTGCTTTGAATTATAAAATGAAGGTATTTAATTTGGGTGACATTTGGGAGTATAAATTTAGGTTTTCTTTTATATGTGGTAAACATGACAGGTTCAAGTTGAAATCAGAATAACAGTTTATTTAAAAATATTATTTGAAAAATAAATTTATGAGGATATATTTCATGATTGGCTGGTAATTCAGTTTGTAGTAATCACGGTAACTTTTAAGTATTTACTTGGGTTATTGTTGATTACTTACTGTTATTAACAAAATACTATTGAAAACATGATATCTTTAGCATGCTTTAAAGAAATTAATTTATAAAACACTGTGCTGTTTAGACACAGTACTTATATTTACAAACATTTTATTACGAATGAAATCCAAGGTATTCCATATTAATATTTCTGAAGCCACTTTCCAAGGAATCTATTTAGAAACGCTTTTTTTCCTATTTCATTTGGTGTTATCTTTGGAATATACAGCGACTGCAACAAAACATGTTTAATTACTGTGTATTTAAAACTTTTGAGAGTAATTAAATGCTACAAGCACGCCTGCATGCAGTTAAACTAACATTAAACATAACATTGTTTTGTCAAGAAGATATGTTTTTAATGCTTTATCATAATTAAATCATTGTTTGGCTTTATATTGGATTTCGCATTTCATGAGTCGAACTTTAACTGATTCAATGTTTCTTTCGTATTAAAAGCAAATGATTTTTCCTGAAAATTGCCATTAAAGAGCTACAGAAATAATTTACTACAAGATAAAAATTTGTCCCATTATGGAAAATTTTTAGTAAAATAAACCCAAGCGTGAAATCCAGTTTGATTTCTAATTTACTTTTTAAATCACACATATAAGCATTTTGTAAAACGGTTTTTACCATTTTGAAAATATTTTTTAAATAACATTATTTAAGCGATTTGTTTATGTCTACATTTACTGTCAAGTTTTGAAGAGCGTTATTTTGTTTGCGTATCAATAGAATGACAACTTACTTGATACTAAACCTTGAATACTTAGCCAGAATAAAACCAAATTTGATTTAAGCCATCAAAAATTTCTTCCGGATTTAAATTTAATTAGCGTTCGCCGCAAAATGTTTATCAAAATGAGCGATTTTT